GTGACAGTATTTCAGATAAAGAACTGATCACAGCTGGTTTTCTTGTTCACTTGTATCTGGAAAGTGTGAATAATTTGGGCTGGTACTTGGTTTTATTTTCATGTGTTTTTAAAGTTGGCTACATGCAGTCTTCAGCATAATATGGAAGAACAACCATACACTGCAACTTTGGTGGTTTAAAAATGGCACAGCAGGAAAAACTTCTTTGCTGGGAGGGTAGAGTGGCCCCAGGAAAGTTACCCAGAGAGGCGTGGAATCTCAGTGCTGGTAGGTTTTTGAGAAATGCCTTTTTAAGACAGAACCAGAGGGCATCACCAAATATTTGTGATAGTCCTGCTTTAGGTCAGAAATTTTATTAGGTGACCCCAGACATTCCTTTCCAATCAACTTGTGTTTTCTTTTAATCGGTATTTGTGTCTCAGTTATTCTACTTAACTGGAATAAGTTTCACCATGAAAAAACAAACACAAAACTTTCAATTTATAATCTTCAGCCCATGTCATAAATTCTGTAGCATCCAATTTTTTTTTTATTTTTTTTTTTAGTGTGGTGCTGTTGGCCTCTGCATCCCATCCAGCAGGTAAAGTGAACTGAGTTCTTCCTTTCTTAGGTTTCCATGTTGCTTTTGCTTTCATGCATGTTTTTAGCAACCAAACCCTTAGGATTTTAGCCCTGAATATGACCAATAATATGTTATCATGTAGGAAGAGGAAAGAAGGGTATATAACTTGGTGTAAGTTGCATGATATTTCCCAATACCATTCTTAGCTGTCCTTTGCAAACAAGCAATATGGGACTGACAACAAAGAACAGTTTTTGAGGTGGTGCATGGTAAAGAACAAGGATTCCCTAAGCCAACATGTCCTCTTCAGAGCAATGCCCCAGCAGTCCAGATAGAGCTGAGTTTCCTTTTCTGCATTGTCCCCAGTGCTATGCAGAGTTTTTGTTTTGTTGCTTTCATAACATGGATCCCATTGCTTGGGCCCATAGCAGTATTTGAAGAAGCAGCACATCAGGAGGTAAATATTAAGAAATATAGTATTTTATGGTGACTAATATTCCTACCTTCTGGTCTGTTCATAATTAGGAGGGTAAAGGTGATCATATGTTGCTTTCATTTGTTCAGCCAGAAAAACAAAGAAGGAAGCATTTAAAGTAACATAAATTCTCCTTTTTTCCTGGTGGTGCAGACTTTGTATATAGGAAACCCCCACCAGGACAGAAATACATGTTAAGTGAAACAGTCCTTCATTTCAAAAAGTGAAAGATTCATGCAAATCTGTAGAGCCTGAAGGCCAGAGAACTCCTGGAATTGCCACTAAAAGCACCCAAGCCCAGGTTCCTGGAAATGCAAGTACTCAAGAGCTCTACTTAGATCTAGGAGAACTATTTAAACCTCTCAACATGCTCTGTGTTACAGAGTTCAAATGCCAGAGAGGGAAGCAGCCGCCATATGTCTGTGTTTCCTGTTGTTTCAGTAGGAGCTATCACATGCTGCGTAATAAAAGAAGTGGATATGGTACATGTCTGTCCACTGGCAGCTGTTGCTTAAGCAGGACCTTCTGAATACTGGAAAAGAATAAATACTCTTAGGTATCACTTTTCCCCTTTTCAACCAAAGGCAAGAACTGGCTAGAAGCAAGGTCAGAGAGAAATCATTAAACACACCAGAAATGTGGAAAGCATCAGAAATGAAAAGTCAGCCAGCTGTAAAGGCTCAAAGGAATGTTAAACTAGTGATGTTCATGTAATTACTGTTGCATTGCTTGTAACAGTGGGTAATTTTTTTCCTACCTACTGAGTGTATTGCTTTGTCCCTCAGGTGATCTTTTTAGTGCCTTGGATTTTCCATTCCTGTACTTCTACAGGTTTCATAGCAGCTGCTGTGCCAGGTAATCTCTCTATAACAGGTCATATAAATGTTTTCAAAATAAGAGATTCAGTTGACTTCCAGCCTATACTCTCAGTTAAAAACTCTGTAGCATGTAAAGCCTTACTTATACTAGTTTCTGCTGCCATAAGCCAGTAGAATTGCAAAGAATAAATCTTTGCATGTCTGTGGATATGCATTTGATGGCCTAGGATTCAAATGTGCTGAAAGTATGTTTCCTTGAGTGTGTGCATTCTGATTGCGAGAGTTCCCAGTCACCAGTAAAATAACGTTTACCCAGTGTAGCAAGTTTTGGTACATAGCATCTCTCAAATATTTCTGTAGTCAGATTAGCTCAAACTTGCTGTTTGCAGCAATTACAAAGTATTAGTCTTCAGCTGTATATGGGTGTCCATGGATTTATTTGCCTGTACACCTTGTTATTTGGCAGAATGTTGTTTTGGGTAAAAAGGAAAAGCTTTAACAAGTGTTACATTATTTTCAGTAATAAAATTTCACTGCATATTGGCATAATTCTCACAGGACAACATAAATATGTTTCCCATAGATCTTAATTTTTTTAAAAATTCCTATCTTCCCCCCCCCCCCAGTCTTTTACCAAATTAAAGTATTTTTAAAAAGGGGAAAAAGATATTTTCATGCTAACTAATGGCAAAAATATTTCCTGAAAGGGATTTTCTGACTTGTATCTGAATTTTCTGTTGAAGGGGTATATTGAGAATGATTGTTAAATAATTTCCAATGTACATAGGTTTTTGTTATGTTTTTCCAAGTGTAGTCTATCCACACTACAAGTAACTCACAATTAGTTATTCTGTAGGTAGGTGAAATCTGTTTTTCTTGAAGATGAGGAATAACTGCAGGGATACTCCAATGGATATCTATCTAGCCCAGATATTCTACTCATTCACTTAATTAGAACTTTACCTCTGTGGTAGCTTCCCACTTCTGTTTCCATTGGCTCACCTTCAGTACCTGTGTAGTAGATAGCACTGTACACTACAGGAAGGGGAAAGGAATGGTTAGGTGGAGAAACAAACATCTCAGTCGGTCTCCTACATTTTATAATCCACTGTCCTTGTAAATATATGGGATTTGGAGGAAATACTGTGCAATGTAAGGTAAGGGCAATTCATGCAGCTAAATCTACTGCCTCTGCAGAATGTCTGAAGCATCAGCAGTAAGGTTCAAGTGCTCAATTTATTTAATGAAATAAATTGCTGTTAACTGTGGCATCAATATTTTAGATATATTTCACTGTTTCACCTTTTTATCTCTTGAGTTGCACTAAATATCTTCAAATCTCCATGACTGAGAGCCCTTCACAGCAGGGCAAAAGATCTGAAATAAACTTAAGCTATTGGACTCTTAAAAATATGGGCGATGTTGGTTCATTGAACTCACTCATTTCTTGGAGTGGAATGCTCTACTGTTCAGTGCTCCATTCTCTGCAACAGGTTGCTGAGTTTAGACCTATCTTTTGTCATGAAAGCAGCATCTGGTTCCTTGGCTTCAGACTTCACATACATCCCAAAGGATCTTATGTTATGGCTCAGTGCAAAAATTCTCAATGCCTTCTAGTCCTGGGAAGTTATCTTACCCTGCTATTTGGTGCCTGTATGGACATGCAGCTGGGATGGAGCTTGGAATGTGTTGTGCAGGCAACAGCACTTGGCTGGTATACTGGAGCCCAGCACAGAACTTCTGGCCTGAGGAGCCACCATTTGCCACCCTTCCTGCTGCTGTAGAGAGGGGACCAACTGCATGGCATCTCTATCCAGAGCACCACACCCTCTGTGAACACCAAGGCACTTTTTGCTTCACCACCTGTGTGCTGTGTTGATCCTATCTCCTTTCCCATGCAGCTTCCCACAGCACTTTGTAATCTCTTATGCCTCACAGTAATTTGTGCCTTAAATATTTTGAAGTCCCTTTCTGTTCCCTGCTTGCTGGTTTACACTGTTCCACTGGTTCCCAATCACTGGATTGTACATATGTCAGAAGTGAAACAAAATCCAGAGCCAAATCTCATGAACTCCATAAAGTCTGCCTGAGATGTGGAACAAAATTTCCTTAAGGGTAGTCTTGGCTACAGGAGTACTGGGAACTGCTGTCCTGTAAGACTTAAGAATTAAAATTCTCTGAATTGTCAGCAGAAAATTTTGGAGTATTCTGTTCCCAGCACTACTGAGCCATCTATTTGTTATACAGTAGAAATGTATTTGACTTCCTAATTGGAATTTTGGCTTCATTAAGTTTAAACAGCTTAAAAGCTTCAGGCAGAAACTTTCCAGTGGTTATTTTTTCAGTTCAAGGCTCTGTGGAGGTTGAAGTGCGTTAGTTGCCAAATATGTGTGGTTCCTACTGAAATTAGCATTACTGTTATTCAGAGCCATTTCAATGCCTGAAGTTAATATTTCACCTCATGTTTTGAATAATCTTTACTTTTCTGATTACGCAAGTGCATTAGACACCAGCCATGAGAGTGTCAGACTTACTTTATCCAGATTGTAGTCACTGACTGAACAAAACACTAGGTGTACTGAACATAATGTAAGCTTCTTGTCCACCATCTTTCATTCTACAAATGGGATTAACACTGCAGTTCTTCATTAGGAAAACCAGGATGTCTGTAAGAGGTTGCTTAGTTGAAGTGAAGATATTTTATTAACAAGCTTTTCCCATCCTTTGCAGTGGACTGTTGGGATTCTTTCTGATGTTGCACACAGTGAAGCTAAAAAGCAGCGCAACCTCAGGGCAATATGCAGCCTGGAGTTTCCTTGCAAAGGTAAGAAAAAGACCCTCACAAGAACACAGTGGATCTGTGCATCTCCCAGGAGAACTGAGGAATTTCTGTATCTCTCTAGTTTCTCTTGCTATTCTTCCTTGATACTTCCATGGTCCTTCTTGTGCAACCTGCACGTAGAACTGTGGCAACAAATATCAGGTGTGTAATATCCCAGGATCATTTTCTGAGATGAAATACTGTGTGTAGACTGCATCTAATGGTACTGGAATGACTATTGCAGCTAAGGATTTGGACTATTGAATTCCAGTAATACAAACTTATACTTTCAAGAGTTGTTTTGGAGAATTCTTCTTCTATGAATATGTACACCAACCATTTTGCAAAGTTTGCAGTGTGTCTTTCTTGAGCCAAGAGTTACAACTAATTCCCTGACGTACAATACCAGAACTCTCACTGTTTTTGTTGTAGGACAGAGCTGCAGATGTCATTTGCCTTGACATTACCAGGGCTTTTGATAGTATGTCTCACAATATTAAGATTTAAAAATTAGAGTACTACAGTCTGGATGGGCAGACAAATAGAGGGGTAAAAACAAGGCTGGAGGATCAGGTGCAGAAAATAGAGGTTAATGATTCCTACTCTAACTGGAGTCGTGTGGCAAGTGGAATGGCACAGGGATCTGTCCTGGGTCCTTTTCTATTTAACATCTTCATTGAAAAATGAGAAGTAAGAGATGTGCACTCACATTTTCAAGGGGCACCCAACTGGGAGGACCTGTCAATAACACTGGAGAATAGGGTTGCCTTCCAGAGGGATCTGGACAGGCTGGAGGGATGAGCCAACAGAAATCTTAGAAAATTCATCAAGGGCAGATGTGAAGCCCTGCACATGGGAAGGAAGAGTTGGTGGCAATAATGGAGCCTGGAAAACTGCACAGTTAGGAAGCAACTCTGTGGAAAAAGACCTGGGATTTTGATAGACAGCAAGCAGGACATGATGCAGCAGTATGCCCTGTCAAGTAAAAAACCCAAAGTATCCTGGGCTGTACTTTAATAGGATGGACAGTAAATTAATGGAAATGATTGTGATCTTCTCCTCAGCACTTGTTAGTTGACATCTGGAATAGGGAGCCTTGTTTTCAGGCACCTCAGTACAGGGAGGATATTGATAAACTGGAATGAGTTTGGCAGAGGGTTGCCAGGAAAGTCAGGGGACTGGATGACTTGCATTTTGGGGTGTGGCTGCTGGACCAGGCTTGTTCAGCCTGGAAGAGGGACATCTTTGGGAGAACATAAGAAACAGCAGCCACCCAGTAGCTATGGAGAAATCATCCAGAAGACAGATCTAGGCTATTCACAGTGCTGTGTAGGGCTATGTGAAATAAACAGAGAGATTCAGATTAGATACAAGGGAAAATTGTTTCACCTCAAAGACAAGTCAGGCAAGGGCAGAGGTTGCCCAGGAAGGCTGTGCTGTTTCCGTCTTTGAAGGTTTACAAGACCTAACTGGATAAAGTCCTTAGCAACCCAGTCTGACCTCCTGAGGTCCATTCCTTCTGGAATTATCCTGTGATCTGTGGATCTGGGGTCTGGCTGTACTTGATTTAAGCTATTAACAACTCAGTTTTTAAATTATTGGTGGTGAATGCAGTCAAAAGAGCTTCTCAGACTCCTTTTCCCTGCTTATATTTTACTTAGTTTTGTCACTTTCAGCTAGGTGGTCTGAAAGCCACAACCTTCCGATGTGGTTTGTGATCTCACCTTTCCTAATACAGTGAATGAAGTTGTTACATTATCACCCCTACACACACACACCAAACCATAGATTTGCATAATATGCTTCTTTAGAAACTGTAGTCAAATGAGTGTTTTTTCCTGGGATAATAAGAGTGTAGTGATATGACTTGGCTTGTGCTTTATAAGGTGTTCCCCACTGTACAAGTCACACAGCTTTTCTCACTAGTTTGAATTTCTTTCAAACATTCTGACTGTGCAGATTTTAGTACCTTAGCTTTCTTCTTACTGTGTGGTAGCAAAGTCAGCTGATCTAGAATTTGCTCTTGAGTCTTCGGTTGTTGTTGTATTTTTATTTTGTTTTTGTTTGGTTTTTTTGTTTTGTTTTTTTGTTTTGTTTTTTTTGTTTAACATTCTGGGTTGGAGATTGGAATAGCTGGCTCTGCTAGTAGGTGTTGTGAATGAAGGTAAATGGTTTTACATGTGGTATTTATGACCTATTGTAAAAAAAATGCAAGCAAAAATGTGTTGTGAAATATATTTTAAGCAGATTTGGGTCCAACCCAGTGGAAGTGGATCAAAGCCATAAAGTCTGGATTGGATCAAATTTTTCCCAGAGTTCAAGGGTTTCTAGATTGTGGGGGTTTGGCCATTTCTAGACATAAGTGATACAAAGTTTGTTCTAGCCACTGTTGTCAATGAAATTATGTGCCTTCATAGCAACTAAAAGCTTGTCTCTGTGTTACTGGAAGAATTTAATCTGTTCTCCAGCCTTAAAAGTGTATGCTGTTTTAATGTACATTGTTTAATTACCTTACTTGGAAAGTTTTTGTAACAGAGCAATTAGCCTTTTCCTGTTGTAGCTTCTAACCCAGTGCTCAAATTATATGTATTATCTTGAGTTTAAAGAGGGCAATAATAATGAATACATGAGATCTGTCTGTACTACTAATAATTTTACCAACACTAGCAGTTTCCCTAATGTCTTCCACTAGTTTTAAAGCTTGCTACTTGACTTATTTTAGGGTTCTACCCTATCCATCTAAGGAACATGAGCAGCATGGAGGAACTGCTGCTCCAAGAGCTGCAATGCAGTTGATTTGGGGTTAAAAGTCAGTGAATGCTTGAAAAGTTTGGAAGCACCATACATCAGTTTTAGAATGGGATCAAAACAGAGACAGACACAGACAGGCAGAAAGCAAGAGCTGAGCTGGAACTTGCCTTGAGGGTAGGGGCTGATCTACTGGCTCCCAAAAAACTCTCCCAGAGAACCTTGTATCTACAAGGAACTATAAATTTATGTACTGTGTAGTTAAGATTTGAGTTCCATCTGTCTGATCATTAATACTACTTCCTGTAGGTGTTTGAAAATGGTAAAACTATGTACTGATCCAGCTCAGCGTTTCCCAGGTATGAGGGCTGTGTCAGTCACATCTTAAATCATAGTAAGTGCAGAAAAGATGCATTTAACCAGAAGTGTAAAAATCTGTTTAAGTCTAAGTGTCTGGCTCCCTTAAAAAAAAAAAAACATAAATGGGAGGAAGTTAATGTAGATAAAGAATAAAGATAGAAAGTATTTGTATCTGGACTTGCAGAATGGGATCCAGTAGAAAAAAAAAAAACAAAAAAAACACCTCTGGTCACAACAACAGCTTTGTGTTCCCACATGAGCATTTTTCTTGGATTGAGTAGTGCCCTAGATCATCCTCCTAATCTCTCAGACTGACTGGAGTTTTCACCAGCAGTGAAGGAAAGGAGCAGTGTTTGAGGCCAGAATATGTTTATCTTGCAAATGAGCCAAGAAAGGAGAATGCTGTAGTCCTCAGACAGCAGCACAAGCCTCTAGGGAGGTGCATGGAATCGGAAAATCTGTTTTCCATTTGGATGCTTTGTACCTATGTGACTAATGAGCTGGGGCTGAGATCGTTGTCACAGCTTCATTTCCAATAAATTAACCATGAGATCTGATCAGCTCTGCTTTGCACATCCAGGGACACATTCTTTGTGAAGCACACATATTTGGCCTCCCTGCCCTCTAATTTTTCATTCACTTAAAAACTGGAGCTGGGTTGTAACTTGTTGTTATGATCTTTACTTTGGCTGTGGCAACTTAATCAATGCATGAGTTTTTTAATTCTTTCCTGTAATGATTTCTGACAGCTCTCATGTTAGGGAATTGCTTTGCACAGAGACAGATTCATCTGTGTATAAAGTCCTGTGTGATAATTATAGTGACAAATGCTCTCTGCACTTTTTCTATGAAAGCAAATAGTGTATGTATTAGTCATATCTGTATAAATTCCTGAGAAATGCAAAAAAAATAGTGAAGTGATCTGTATAAAAAAAAAAGTTTTTAAGAAGTCCAAGAAATACTAAATGCTTTGTCATAGCCTTGCACACATTAAATCCCCAGAAGAGCAAGGATTTGAAGCTGTACTGAGATTTCTTGTTTTAATTTGAAAGCTGTGCTAGTATCCTGGGTCATGTACTGGAAAGAAAAAACTGGAGATGCTCATATATACAGACAGAAGCATCTGGTGAGAATGCTAATGAGCTCTAACAGTGCTGTCAGTGAGTTTGTTTTGATTAAGGCTGCCAGTCTATATCTGGTGATGAAACATGTTAGGGTCTCTAAAAGTTAAGCAGCAGAAATAATTTAAATTGTTAACAGAATAGAAAAATTGAGCAAGATAGTGTTTACTTATGAATTCGTATTCCCATATTATGTTTAGTGTTTTCCTAAAAAACTTGTAGTAGGGAATTCAGCTTGTTTCCAGTAAGAACTATTGAAGCAGCTTGTTATAAACAGGAAGGAGAAATAGGAAGGTCAGTGGATTTTGAATTATCTTTTTCTTCCACCCTCACCTGAAGATAGGAAATTCAATAACTGAAATTAAGTTGCATTGAGGTTTACTGATCTTCCTATGCATGGGTTGGAAGGAAATACAGAATAATAGGATCAGGAGTACGCAACTATTTTCTATATAAACATCCCAGGCACTATTATGTAATCTATAATTTATCTGAACAGTGTTGGAGGCTCCCTAGTACATAAAAGCATCCTCTGACAGCTGCTTTGGTTCCTTGTTTGTTAACTTTAGATGTGTATGCCCCAGGTCATCCTGTATTTAATGCTGGCTGCCAGACATTGCGAAAGCAGCTTTGCAGGAGTGTCTGAAAGCATCTCTTATCTGTGGGTTCTGTGTACCAGCTGTACTTATACTCCAGCAGGTTTAGTCTTCCCCCCAAATGTATAATGGCTGTCCAGAACCCCTCCTGCTATTCAGAATGACTCCTATAGTCTTG